GCATCCTTTCTCTCACCTCCCTTAGTCCTTCGCCCAGCTTATGCCATGTCAGCCATGGCTAACTCGGAAGCGGCGGTAGTTGCCGGCATAATTGACGAACTGGAGGGTGTGGAGATTGCTAGGAATCTGGCAGTAGCACTGCTAACATTTAATTTTTGGGAAATTTTGATCACTCTGGACGAGGAAGTGAGCACATCCTACCATACTGATTTTATTTCACGATCGCTCAACAGTGGTTTTTCTTGATGCCTAGATAGCCCTTTTTTGGTCTGGACCATGGACATTTTCTCGTTTTTTGTTTTTCGTGGTGAGTATCATTCCTCCTTCTATCTGACTGTATATACCCCCATCAATCTAACAGTAGTGTTGATGAATAGAACCGCTATCTAGCGCCTGTGAACTCTAGGTCAGTGTCTAATATCTTAATTCTTCTGTATTGTCTGAATTCTTTCTACAGTTTGATTCTTTACGGTAATTACCTACTTCCACCTGGTTTCTCGCTGTTGGGACTGACCCGCGCTGCAGGAATCATGGCGCCGAATATATCCACATCGGTGAGAATAGCCAAAAGACCTATTTCGACAGTTCTATTACTAATGCTTTCGAATCCTAGAAGTTGTAAGTCAAATTAACGATGCGGACTTTCTGTAGTAGAAAATTTTAAATGACTTCACCGACCAATAGCTGTACGGTCAACTTTGTAGCTGGTTTTACGATCGCCACTGTAGGACTCATGGGTGTCCAGGGTATGAAATACTGCCGTATCTATCATTCATTGCTGCTCACTGAAACATTACATTCTCTCTATATAGCTGTCCTCATTATCCGCATCTGGTATCTCTTCAGTCACAGCTGGTCGATTCGGGCACTATCTATCGGCACCTTCATCGCTAACGCTGCCCTCTCCTCATACTTCCTCTTCCAGAACGTATACGAAGAACAACACAGCCCTGAGACTTCCGCCAAGGTGGTTGCTCTCTTCAAAGAATTTTTCCCAAATTTCGAACCACGAGGATGTACGTTTTTCATTCCAGATAATATGTACAGGCTTTTTTTGCCGGGGTTGGTGTTGCATACGTTGCTGTATGTGTTTACGACGCTGAGAGCGTTCAGGATACCGAAGGCGCTTCGAGATGCGCCGGTGATGAGTAGGCTACTGAAAGAGTGAGTGCTGTATCTCTACCTGCGCTATCCTTTGGGAGTACTGATCCTAAGTTCCATAGCGGCGGAATTTTCTACACTGTTGTCGTCTGTGAGTTTTCATCCGACTTCCTGGTGTTTAAGCAGAATCGACTGACAGAACAACGAATGCAGTGGCCGTTGCTTTCCAGACAGCCGGAGCGATTATGATAAAAGTCCCACAGGTAAGAGAGCTCTGAATAGATGATGTGCATTGTCTGAGCTTTTGTGTCTCAAGGTCAATATACCCTCTCTTTTCTCCAAGTGCGTGCATTCCGTGTTCACTACTGGATTATCTTGAACCCATATGTAATTTTCTACAATAGCTTCATGCACACCGTCTGCTCCGTGGCAGTAACACGTTTAATGCTACGCTTCAAGTCCCTCGCCGCTGACATAGGGTACGACGAGGTTTGGATTCTGAGCCACGTTGAGCTCCAAAGACTTGCATGGAAAAAGGGAGACCGGGATGGAGAAATCATTGTAGAAGCGGCTAGTCCCGTGTCAGATGAGGAGTATGATTCGGAGTTTGGCAAGATTCAGCCTCGGCCCAAGGCAGGCTTGCAAGTGTCGCGCGCTGGGGCGTTCGAATCCGTAGGGGTGTTTGATGATTTGGGGATGTTTGACACAAGTAGGCATACTTGAGGTCTTGCTAGGTGGGGAGGGAGTTCATCGCAGTGAGTTTCTCGCCGGTTGATTTTACACTCGTTGAGCACCTCAACTGTCTTCCAGTTCGTTGGTTATAACTTAGGTGTCGCTCTTGAATATAGTACTATTAACTGTTTCATCGAACGATCGTAGTCTGATCGAATATCCCGACAGTGGACACACCTGGGTCACCCTCAAGAACTTTTTCAGGCTTTAAATATTGATATCTATAGTGGACTCGGGAACCTACTCAACGCATGCCCCTTCAAAATGTCGCTGTCAGCCTCAGTTGCACCATGATACTCTGATACACTTCTGTACATATATATAGTAAGTTAATTTTCACGTTGAATCAGAGTCGAGTACTCAACATTTTCACGGACTTCGTTGTTCACATAGTGTTAGTATGAGGGACTGAACGGCGTGTAAGTAGCACGCCCTTGATATTTCGTAGTCGTTGTTCGTCGTCGACGTTTGTGAATCTGTCGAGCGTGTCTCAGGGACCGAGCTTGGTCCAGAGCAGGAGCAGAAGCACAGAGAAGCACTGGTAATCCCCGAGACTTCCTTCCCGTTAGCCTCGATCAACAAAAAATCCTGATGGTCGCCTTTGAGCTTCACAATCCAGTACTTTTCCAGCCCTTCTTCATCCGAAGACTGTTCTCAAGATTTGCTTTCAATTGAATGGAATGCAGGGTGAGAATGATCGATTCACCAGATGTTTATAAAACAGTGGCCTGTTCATGACTGTTCTCATCAACTCTCTCATTGACGTGAGGCGGACAAAATCCAGACAAAAACGATGCTCTAGTCGACTCTTCACCCCCGGAGCCATCTGTGATTCCGTGTTGGAGATTCCACCTCCTTCCGCTCTTTAACGCTTTCTTTTCTTTTCCTTCCCTTTTTCGAGCAGGCCTCTCTCTTCTTGAACGTTCGGATTTTGAAGTCCCTTAGCGCTTCAGTTTCGACATGACAGGTTCAATTCCACCCGAGCTCCTTTCGCGAAATCATTGCCTCTCTAGAGGGCGCCGAGGTTGCGAAGGTAGTGAACATCGCCTTTCTTGCATTGACAGGTATGAGATTACGCCAAACGCTCAAAGATTGAGAGTTTAATATTGATCCCTCATTACTTTCCTAGTTTACGAGGTGCGTTCCCGAATTGCACCTATGTGCTATCGTCGCTGACAGTGTGCCCTTCAAGTGGTTGATTACTCTTGATCAAGAGGTATGCTTTCATTATTGAAGGAAGGAAGGAATGCCGATGTTATTGAACAGATTGAGTATTTCTGGACTGGAAAATGGACCCTGTCACGACTGTTATTCTTTTTTGTGCGTATCGAAATTCTCGCTCTCGAGTAGTGTGCTAACTATTTCCTTAGAATCGATACATCCCCGCCTTCATTGTTATGTTCGTAAGATCCAACACTACCACAAATTCAGCCTCTTTCCACTCATGCTGACCTGATATTCCGGGTTCCCTTCATCAGGTTTCTCACTCTTGCGTTAGTCAATTTATATCGGAACTTGGTCCTCAACTCATGCGCTTCACAGTCATGTCTATCCCAAACCCTTCGACTGAAGTAAAGCGCTCTCCGATCTACCTAACCTAGTTGATATCTTACCCCCACCTCTCATTATCTTCCTTTGTCTATTCTCGCAGTTGTAAGTGGACTCAGTCATCGCTGCTAGCGTTATCTGATTTATGCATTTGTAGTTGTATCCCGGCCGTCCAATTTTCATTCTTCGCAACAATTATTGCCTTGGGTATCGTCCAAGGTCCGCATTTCCGACTCATCCTGTGAAACTGAAACTCATACTCCATTTTTGTTAGCAATGCTTATCATACGAGTATGGTATCTTTTCCTCAGTCAAAAATTCGTTCAATACGGGATCATGGTTCTCTGGGCTATTTCGATGGCGGTATCTCTGACCTATACGGGCATAGCTGCAACCCACCTGGATTTACTCAATGGTAGTAATTTCGCTTTGGACTCGTCTGGATGCCGGGTTGCGAGACCAGTTAACTTTTGGAGGATATTTTTCCCATCGCTGATTTTACATGTGAGTCTCAAACCTTGCAGATATAGTACCTGCCATTGACCTCCTTTCCTCCCTCTTCAGACGATCTTGTACGTTCTTACGGCGCTTAGAGCGTTACGCAACCGTCGCGTATTGAAGGAAGCTCCCGTTCTAAAGCGTCTTCTGAGAGAGTTCGTTCATCGTTTCCTTCTGACGCGTACGTTACTTATTGCTTGCGCAGTGGGGGTCTCTTTTTCTTCGTAGTCTTTGGTGAGGCCGATCATGGATGCATGCCATATTTGTTTCTCAATTGCGACACAGTATCCGTTGGATTCACGGCAGTGGGGTCATTTCTCAAGGATATACCTCAGGTATTGTCAGTCCATATCGGTCGTTAACTCATGCTGAAATCAACCTTGTCGATCTAGATTAACATCCCGGTTATATTCTCCAAGTGGGTTTTTCCTTCTGCTTCATGACTGTTCCCGTAAACGCGATGTTATGCACAGTTACTTGATCGCCGTAACCTCAATCGCCATGTCCCGAATCATGTTCAGCATCCACTCTCTTGCCTCGCATCTCGGTTCAGAAACTGGGTGGCTCTTGAGTAATGTAGAGTTACGAAGGATCGAGTGGAAGAAAGGTGCTACCGAGGGAGAGATAATTGTGGACTGCACGCCTGACAGCGACGATCTGGAGTCATATGGGGACGAATTCCGTGACGGAACACTGAGGTCGCAGAGTGCGTTGAAGATGTCGAGGGTCGGGATGTTTAATGATGATACAATGTGGTCTCAGTAGCTCTTCGAGCTTCAGTTACGATGACCTTTTAATTCACTGGCAGGGCTTGGCGGATCATTCGTGGCACGAAAAGGTGATGGATTACATGGACTCATTTCCGCATGCGATATAACTGGGGATTACGAGTGTTTTGGACTTTTATATAACTTACTGGGTACACTGTCGGGACTATCAGTGTTCTTGACTTATTTTAATAGATGTATTCGTATGTAATTTTATGACAGGTTGTCGTTGCTTTTCTATTTGTTGTTTAACTTGAGTTGGCGATTGAGAAAAAAAAAAAAGAGAAAAGATAAAAAGCGAAAAGAGCGAAAAAGAGAACAAAAACTGAGTAGTCTTCTGAGCTGCGAATACGACGACGCCAGCAGGATTTGAACCTGCGCCCTCAAAGAGGAACAGATAGCGAGTAGATTCGAATCTGTCGCCGTAACCACTTGGCTATAGCGCCTTACTTCAAGAGTCTGTTGCATATTATATATATAGCCCTTTCATTTCAAGGAATTTGTTTCAACGACTCGAAGCGTTCGACCATTCATGAAACTTTCATAGTCAGGTAAACTAATAATGCCAGATGTTATCCTAGTACTTAATAGGTATTTCCATTATAGATCTATCATTCGTCCATCCTTTTTCCATTCGTCACGTAAGTCTCTGTCTGTCTCTGTCTGTCTACGGTCTGGTTATTACAGTAATATCAAGCCTCGACTGATTACTTATAACGTAGTCTCTTGTCAGGTTCATATAATCTACTTGAACGCTCGAGGCGTATAATTTCATGTAGATCCATCGAGGTTATCGTTGGCAATCAGTCGTATCCACATAAATTCAAAACTCTCTAGCTCCGGCTCCGAGTCGGGATTTATGTCCGCGGTAATCCAAATCGACCTTGGCAGGCCACTGTCATTAGGTTTAGACGTAGTTCAAAGTAAGTAAGCCTAGGGCAATAGAACGATTGTAGTAATCAAATCAACAAAATTTTGACATATGCATTGTTTTGATTTTTGATTTTTTTTTTCATCAAAAAATACCCAAATCGAGCCGGTCAAAGCTGGCTCTCGCAACTTTTCGCCACCCAAGCACGCGGAGTTGATTCTACCTGCAACGGCGCGACAAACCTATAGAGTGCAGCTGTCACCTTGAGCCCGGATTTTTTCAACCGCTGGGTTGTAGTACAGCTGCTGAATACTACTAATCAATGCAGTGAACAAAAAAGACTCAGCGTAGCAGAGTCCTCCATAGCAGTAAATTTGACTAACCGAACCAAAAATTCGGAAGCTGCTGGTCGGTCGACAGGATATTGATGCTCTGTTCCTTAGCTCAGCTTCCCGGTCTACAACTGATGCCCCAACATCAACTCCAGCACTCAGAAAAGTGAGATTGACAGAAGCAAGTATGTACGTAGTATATTTGTCGAATGGATCACAAAGGATTATCAGAGACGTCCAAAGAGGATACAAAAAGGAACCAGAAACTATTCCGAAAGCGGATCCAACGGCCAGTATTCGCCTTATAGAATGCTGATGCTCTAGGAGCGCTAAGAACGGGCAAAAGTGTTTATACGCTGGCGGTTAACTAGGAAGATAAGGCATAATTACAGATAAACGTCGGAAGGGGTGCTCCGGATGAATTTCAGGAGTTTGTTATCTAGAAATAACGCGTCGTTTACTGGAGCCACCTAAAGGAGATTAGAAACGATAACTGACGAAACAAGGGCAATAGCGTACTGACTTTGGTGGTCCATGTTCATATAACTTGCTTTATCTCTTCCGAATAATGCTTGGGGCGTCAGCGCAGGCTCACCATAAGAATACCAACGATACGATTCGATCAGAATCCCCACTTGGTCTGGACCATCCTATCCTCGAACTCTGCATTCGTCTCCGCGGTAATCCCAACATAGAACCTAGCAGCTTCAGTCAGACAGCATCATTACAGTATTAGGTTAGACTGAATTCACGTATTTGTGGCACTTTGAGTACATAATGGCAAATTGTCAGTATGCTCGATCGGTTTTACTTCCTTGCTCTTTGCACCTCACACCCACTGTCTCCTTGATTTTTATTTTCCTTCTCAACTCAGTTCTTGGATTCTTCAGTCCTCCAGACGATGCTATTTTCTTCAATCGCGCTTTTGGCGTGGTCACTGTGCGCCACAGTTGTTGTTGGGCAAGACGGAAGCGTCACTGGTCCTACGAGCAGTGCACAAGCAGCTGGATATTCTTGCGATCCCTCAAAATGCCAACTTCCGAACTGCAATTGCGCATCCACGAGTCCTCCAGGTGCATAGTCTCTTAGGCAGCCCACGATGATATACTGACGATACGTTAGGCGGATTAAACGGGGTAAGCGATTTTTCAAGTGGAATTTTGAGCTGGAGTTAGGTTCTGAGAACGTTTGGGAACGTCTATTTGGGTTTTACATTCGGCGAGATGGATGCTGAGGGAAGAAACGCGTCTGCTCATTGCTGGTCGCGTGCAGCTAATATAATGAGCGCCAACGAGCAGCATCATTTTGCTCCTAAACCCCATCACTGCTTCGCTTGCTCATGAATTCCATGCTCTTCAGTCATCCGTACCTCAATTCTATCGTCTACACAGGCCTGACGACGCGGTCCAATCCTATACTCTCGACGCTGTCAACCAGTTTTTGGCTCAAAGAAAGAACCCGAATGGCTGCCCAATAAAAATGACTGTCAGTTTGCTCTTTTTCTACCTTCGACTGAATTTCTGACCTTTAATTTAGTACTACACATCTCTGAACTATACGAACTATACTTTGGTCACAGGTTAATTGCATTCCAGCTGCGCTCTTACGCTTATTGACCTGTGGCGTATCGTATTTTCAGATTGGTTCGTGGCTGGTAACGAAATCGCGGACCATACGTGAGTTTTGCGCTTAGCCAAGCTCAGAATGACCCACCTGAAATTTCATTCCGAATAAGCATGACTCACGTCGGAACTCCTCCTCAAGATGAGATTGACGGAAATCTTGTTGTTCTCAACGCGCTTGCAGGTACGTTTCGCAGCTTGTACTGTCAGCTCTAATTAAATACGATTTCTAGGCATTCCTTTGAAGCGAGATCATCGGTTTCCGTGCACCGTACCTCAATTACTCTGTCCAGACTTTGCAATTCCTCCAACAGGCCGGCTTCACCTACGACTCCAGCGCTACATCATCTCTACCCGTCGACGCCGAGGGTACGGATGCATATTGGCCATACACGCTCGATTATGGTTTGGCAAATGATTGTCTGTCGGTTGAAGGGATATGTCAAGGGCAACCGCAGATCCCTGGCTTTCTGGGAGGTGCCTATGTACGCGTTCTTCGACGACAGAGGCGTGGAAGGAATTCATCTAATGGATCCGTGGCTGGATACGGCGAATGGAAACTCGGTAGTTAACGATAGCGCGACCTTGGAGTATATGCAAAACACGTTCACAGCGCATTACAATGGCAATCGACAGCCGATTGGATTGTATACTCATCCCTATTCATCTTGCTGTACGTCTTTTTCCATGCTCGTCGGACTATCTTGTGTGGATTGACCTCCTTTAGACCGACTATCCAGGCGTACCCGCACCAACGTCCACGATCAACATGATTAACCAGTTCCTTGACTGGGCTCAAGAGCAGCCTGATGTCTGGATCGTCTCAACGCAGCAACTCCTCGAGTGGGTCCGAAACCCCGAACCTATCGCCAACCTTGACAATTCGGCCGCGTTGAAGTGCTCGACACCACAAGTGGATTCGTCGACCAAGATATGTAATGGGATTCCACAAAATGAAGCTGGATTACTTGACCATTGTGCTTTTGCCGACTTCCCATTCTATACTTGTGTATGCTTCTTTTTCGTTCCTCTCCCGTCAGCTCAGTTTCTAACCAGCTTTCCTGTCTAATATAGTATGGATGCCCAGTCGAGACTCCTACGCCAGGCAACCCCAATCCTGCTCAATCGGTTCCGTCGGGAGGTCAAGCTCGGTTTAGGTGTACGTGCCTCTTTTTCCGAGTTTATTTCTGAACTTCTCCTTACGTCCCATAACAGTACCAGCAAATTGCTCTACGCCCTTCTGGGATCCAATTCAAGGAAGCTGCTTATGCCAAGAAAGCTCTTGTGAATTTAACGATGTGTCAAGACCTATTGGGGTATGTCATTTTCTTTATCCTCGTTCGCTCTCAGAACCTCCAACTCAACTCGTTCCATTTATTCACAGCCCAATGGAGCGAATCTGACAGGTGGCGGAACCGGTGGAGCACTTGAAAGCGGTTCTGCTTCCCCGTCCCCATCTTACGCGCCTTTCAATGGAGCGGATGGATCCCTACTTTTCGCTGCGGGTACTCGACATGCGCTGATATTTGGATTGGTGGGGGTGGTATTGGGGGCCGTCGGTGTATTGGTGAGGGTTTAGTAGTTTGGAACGGCATGATGTCTTTTTCATTTTTGCCCCCCATCGAATATTGGTTCTGGACGTGATTATCGTGCTGACGCTTCCTTCCTTCCTTTCGTTCTTGTCTTGCATGTTTTCTATCCATGGGTCTTGAACTTTTTGTTGCATACTATCGTACTATAGTCGGACATGTGTCTTGTAACCTGTATTCCTACTGTAAGTATGTTCCTTCCGCCTTTCTATGAGGATTTCTTGCCTTGAGAAGTCCAAACTAGTAAGCGCCGGTATACAATGATGGATGAGCGCGATGATCTTTATTTTTTTTGGCGGTACGGAGTTTTCGGACACGTACCGCCAAAAAAAACATCATTGTATACCGGCGCTTACTAGTTGTTTTGAACTTTCACAAGTTTCACTAGCTGCTCGCTATTGCCAGAGCGCTCTGTCCGCTTGAACAGCTCGTATCTAGGCCTGAGCTACTCTGCCAGCCTGAGATGGATCCAAACTTCATACAAGACCAGTATGTTCCGAAGGACCACGATGATGAGAACGGAGAGAAGTAAATATTGAATGTTATTCTTGTAGATAGAAAGGCCATGTACCCAGATTTTGTATATTATTGCTTTATTCAAACACTTGATGGTTGATTAATTATGCAAGTACCGAATCTTGAAGGATCTTGTGAGGTTGAAGCACACGTCTCTTCCTTCCCTCCTTATGCTTTGACTTGAACCACTTGGAGGAGATTAGCCGTTGAGCGACTTGTCAATGACTATCATGGACGCCTATTAGGAATTCGTGTTTCACTGTTCGGAGGTCGAAGGTCATACGCACACCAGAGAATTCCCTTGGTTGTTGACGTCAATAATAAGCGCCAGAGAGTACTGCCTACATCCATTGTGCATTGTGCCTCAGCTGCATTGTACCAAGTAGTAAACTCAAAGTAAAATGGAATTGGAAGGAGAGCAGCCTAAATATGCGTACTCTGGGACTCGTAGAAATACGCAAACGTCCATGCCAACCCTCTGACCTTCCAGAGAGTGTTCTGTATGTGGTAAGAATC